TATATATATAATTACGGTCAGATGTACCTTAATTATGCAGAGACAATAAATGTAGTTTCTAGGGTGCTTGAATAGACATAAGGGACTTCAACATCTTGCTCTTACTGGTAAAATTGAAGGCAAATAAGGCAAGCATAGGCCCCGAGAATATAATTTGGAAAGCCAAAACAAATAGGGTGACTGGAGAACACCAGAATGATTTACAACGTTTTTAAGAGCATCCGAACAAGGGAATGAGTGACGAACTACGATCGCCGATGTCTGTCGCAGATCTGGCACTTGATGATACTTTAGTTTGGGGACTTTTTCCAACTCTTTATTTTAACTCTTTTTTTTTAAGTAACTGTAAACGTCTACCAATTTTTTTAAAGATAATTTGGGAGGTGGACTGTTTTAGCCCTGCCTGTCAGGACCAACCGGGCTGAGAGTGAACCACAGACAAATGGACCAGATACTAGATTTTTAAAAAATCACTATCGGGAATAGATCCTTTGTCTTCTGTGAGATACAGGGAAGAGACTAACCTCTGCACCACGGATGTCGGCTCAGTATTGTTCTAATTATTCATTTGTGGAGTTGGGGTTCTCGTGGTCCAGAGATTGTGGTGTCCGCCTCTCATTCAGTAGGTCCCGGGTTCGAATCCGGATAGCGAAGGACAATTCTCTTGTCTAAATTTTTCTCCTTTCACCTTCTTTCCACCCTCTAACAAAGTTCTGCCGTCTGCTTTCGTCTTCTCTTTCTGCCCCCACCCCTTCACCCCCTATGCCCCCTCCTCTGGGCTTCTGACTCTTTCTGCAGCCTTTCTACTGTTACTTCTTTGGCTCTTTCTTACTGCTGTCTTTCAGCCGCACTCCGGATCTTATGGTAGATGAGATCGAACACCTAGCCTTCTCGGATAAGGGCCAAAAATCTCGGAGGTCCCGTTGAGCGGGGGGTGTGCACATTAAAGATCCCTTGGTCGTCCAAAATCGATAAGAGTGGGCTCTGGGCGCCACACAGGCAAAATTGAAAATTTGCTTCCAACTGAAAATGTTTCATGAGCCCCGAGCGCTCATGTGACCTAACGCAGTTGCGAGCGCCGTAACACACTAACCCCCAAAACGTTGTGGAGTCTGTTGGTCTAGTGATTAGGTTGCTGTTTTCGCAACTGAAAAATCGTTTAGGTTTCAGTACTGTGTCCTTGAGTAAGTGACTTTACGCGAAATTTCCTCACTTTACACAGGTGGGAATGGGTGCCAAGCTACTGACGGCGAAATAATATTTTGTCAGTCTGTTTATGCTCGGCACACAATCAGCTACTTGCACTGTATGAATGCAGAACAGGAAACTGGGAATGGCTCTGGGTATTCTAGGCGCTGCTGGGGTCATGATAGTTGCTGCAGAGGGTGAATTAATTGCGCTATGTAAATGCCATATCATCATCATCATCATCATCATCATCATCATCATCATCATCATCATCATCAT